TCAAAGATAATAATAGAGAAAACATCTAAAATATTAAAAAGCTTAAGACTAAGTAAGAACTTAGTCGTAGGAACTGCTAATGTTATACATACTGACCCATAAAAGGTCTGGGACTAAGTTTCAAAAGCAAACCTCAAATGAAACCAAGGGTTTTAAACATAAACCTTCCAAAAAAGGTAACCTAGAGGTAAAAAAAAAAAAAGAGAATTCAAACAACTTAAACTTATCACTAGGAAGATGAGGGAACTGAAAAAGGTGCATCAACAGCAGCGGGATCAACTTGGCTTACAACAGTGGGATCAGCTTGGCTTGCAGCAACAGGCTCGACTGGGCTTGAAAGAGTTGGGATACCCGACATTCACGGAAGCTTCGGCCACGGGAGAAGGAAAATCTTGAGTTTGCTGAGCTTTCTCAATAGTTTCATTGATCTTAGCCAACCCGGACTCTAAGTTGAAATTTTCTTGGCCAGCTTCAATTAGGGTATCACGGCGTGAATTCAAAAACGCCCAACTTACTTCCATAGCAGACTTATCCTCAAGGATCTCGTAATCCCTTTCCCAGTCAGCAATCTCGCTCTTCAACTTCTCATTTTCAGCTAAGGCAGATGTGTAGGAGGCTTGAAGAGAGGCATGGGAGTTTTCCAAAGCACAAACCTTATCAGAAGAAACTCGAAGGTCTTCTTGTGCTTGTGTCAAATTCTGCACGAGCTCCCCGGCGTAAGCTTCTTTTTCACTTAAGAGAACCTTTAACTCTCTGTTCTCTTCACTAGCCTTGGATAGCTGCTCTGAGAAGGAAGTTTCAAGACGAGCTCTTTCTTTATCTACTTGACTCAAAGAAGCCTTTACAATCCCCAATTCCGAAGTCAAGGCCCGAACCTGCTGCTCCAAGGTACTCTTACTCTCTTCCAAATATTCCATATCAATTTTCAAGCTTTCGTACTATTCCTTCCAATTGAATGCCTCTAGCTGAGAATCACGTGCAATCTGCTCTGAGGAGGTAATTCGTTTCATCATTTCTGTGCCGATAAGATTGGCCTAAAAAAAAGAGAAGAGAAATAAGAATCCCAAAGATAGAAAAACCATGAAATAAAGGAAAAAGAGAGAAAAGATGAATACTTTCAAGGTGGCATGCACAATATCATTCATCAACATCAAGGAACTATGGCTCTCCAACTTAGCCTTCTCAATCGGACCAATTAAGGGCTTTAGCCACACGTCCGCCTGACCTGATTTCCTTAGAAGATTACCCTTAGCGGGGACTTCAATAATCACTTGCCTCATGGCACCACTTCCACTTGAGGAGCCAACCTCTACATGGTGAGAAATCAGAGGGGGATTGTCGAAGGAGGAACGGTAAAAGAAGTAAAGACAGCAGCCTGGGGAGGAGCAGAAACAGCCGAGACCGGCAAAGAAGGAATCACAGGCACGGGAGTAGAAAAAGAAGCCAGGGGAGCTTCATCAGAAACTGGGCCTAAGTCTTCATTACCAAACCCGCTAACAAAATCTGCTCAACTGAATCATAAGCAGCAGCGGGAGCAGCGTCATCATCAGATATGGGAATCACCAGCGGGGCCTCAGCAGGCTCGGTAAAAGGAATAGAATGGCGGGGGGATGCTTCAGCTTCATCATCAGAAATGATGCGTCTTCGAGTTCGAGGCCTTCTCACCAAAGAGCCCCCGTCTTCCTCTTCTTCAGAATCTTCTTCTTCAACAACTTTTCTCTTTGATGAAGAACCCAAGACTATTTCTTGAGCCCTCTCTAAAGAGATACGGGTTCTTGAAGAGATACGGGAAGCCGCAACCACCTCGGCAGTAACTCCCCGAATAGCAAATCCTGATAAAAAGAAGGATTAAAATTAGTGTTAAAAAAAACATTATATGAAAAACGAAGTAATACAAAAACTCTTACCATGAGTTTTTACTTTCCAGCCAAATCGGTTAGAAAGTGTCTTCCAAGACCTACCATCCATTGGTGCAGACTTTAGTAACTTGTCTATCCAATCACGGAAATTGGGAACACTTTTCACAACTCCCATGGTTGCTAAAAAAAATAGAAAAGTTGACAAACTTGAAGAAAAAAGGCACGAGAAAATTAAAAAGACTTACGTGCAAAATTCCACTTCCCAGGGAAGGGAACATTATCTTCACCCACTAAACCAACAGTGGGGGCAGCAACAAACCTGGCATACCAGCCACGGTCTTTGTCATCCTCAGGGCTCACCAAAACTCACTTACTCCTGGCTACTAGTGTGAAAACACCATTGCGGAAAAGCCTAGGGGAATAAAGGTGAATCAAATGAGGGAAAGCAAAGGGAACATCAGTTGTGTTGGACAAGTGCCTCAAACAGGCCACAGCCCTCCATACGATTGGGCCAATCTGACCCAAACAGACATCAAAGAAACGACAAAACTCAAGAATAACAGGGTCAATAGCCGATTTAAACCCTAAGGTGAAAGGGTATGTATAAACAAAAGAATACCCAGTTATGTAAGAGGTAATTCTTTGGTTTGGATTGGGAATAATAATAGGAAAGTCACTACTCCAATGGCAATCTCCACGAATTACAGGAATCAAAACTTCTGTAATCTGAGTGGGAAAGATATCAGCACGATCTAAACCAGAGACTTGATTCCTAAGAGATTCTCCGTCATGATAAAAAGATAGTTTCGAAGGAACTATCTCCTCTACTGTAGGCTCACGAAGAGGTTCAGAAGGTTCTTTACCTCTTGAAGAAGATCTTTGTGAAAGTGAACCCCTAGTTCTAGAAGAAGGACCAGAACTAGGAGAAGGAACAGAAGAGCCGCGTGCAGATGAAGATCCTAAATTACGGAGTCTACCTCCTCTTCTGCTCCTACTGGGAACATTAGGGAAGTTATCAACTATGGAGACCTTACTAGGGTTAGGGTTTGATGAAGACATGATGATACGAGGAAGAAACAAACAAAGATTTGAGAAATTAAATGTTCAGAAGACTTTATGTGGTAAAGACAAAGAAAGAAGTTATATTTATACTAAGAAGCAACCGTCAAAGGAAAAAGTGTAATGATGGAAGGGTCATAATGACAATTGTCGCTTCGTATACAGTGAAATCATAAAAAAGCCTTAAAAAGTGCTGTAAAATTGCAGAACCAATGAAAATATGACACGTGTCAAGAACATTAATTAGAAGTGACAATTGGAGAGTCGATTCTGTCATAGCATTAATGGTGACAAAAATTCTTGCTTTAAAAGAAATTCCACTTCACAAATATTCAATCGATGAATAAATGGCAAGTGGGGGGACTATCTGTATTGGGAAAAATTGAGTTTACATATAAAGATGACATGTCATGACACGTGGATTGATCAAGGAATTATGATTAGCAAAGAGGTACGAGTTGCAACAGGCACGAGCAGAGGCATGAAAAGAGGCACGAGCAGCTATGCGGAAGATTCGGCGCCCGTACCTATTTAAGTCCAAGAATTAAAGAGAATGAACCTGACAGTACAAAGGAGTACAGATACAGTACTTAATGAGCCTTTATTATTAAAAACGTTAGAGAATCTGTATTAAATATAATGATTATGTAACGTAGCATTTAATGCCTTTAAATTGCCCATAATAACCTTATTATGACAAAGGCAAGACGCATATCTCTCAAATAGCTATAAAAGGGAGATAACTGATCAATTGTAAGGACACGAAACACTATCTGAATATACTTTGGTTTACTTGTTTCTCTCTTGATTATATTCTTGCTATCCAAATTGCTTTCTTTTATACATTCATTCGATTATCAGTAACTCGCATTCTTCTAAATTATAAGCTTTAATCGAAATTCCATTTTTTGGTTAAACAGTAAGTGTCACCAGTATGCTGTACTTTCGGCCTACTTCTACTTTATTAATGTATGTGTACATGTTTCTTAAGTGATGGATAAACAATTGTTTTCTGTCAGAATTGATTAAGTTCAATATTCCTGTATAATCCACTTTTTGGTTTACCAGATGAGACTGTCATTTCCAAAGTGAAAAAGAATAATTAGGAGTCAAGAGACGTTAAACAGCCTTCTAAAAGAGGACAATTTATGTTCCACCACCCTGCCAATATAACAATTTAAAATAGTTTCTGATTCTCCATAATCTCAACAAACGTTTATTTCCTCCCCTTGACAACTTAAAGAAAAAGCTTATGAAAACTATTTCAGTTAAGCTTTTTATTTATTATAGACTTATAGTTAGGTAATCTAATTGCAAAGTCGCCAATCTTGCATGCCACAAACTTTATATATAGCCCATTTTTCATCTTTCTTCCACGCAATTACAATTATGGCAAAGCTTCCACTAGTTTATGTCATATTAGTAATTCTTGCTCTTGCATACTCAGGTTCAGCCACTAACTATCTGGTGGGTGACAATTCTGGCTGGGATATTAGTACTGAGCTTAATACATGGTTATTAGGCAAACGATTGTTCTTCGTAAGTATATGGTGAACTGTTCTCTAATTACATTTATAGATCAAAACTTAATTTCCTCAAATTTTAGTTAATTACATTGATATATTGACTCATCTTTTTTTGTAGTGTTCCAATTCTCAAATTACGATAGGGTGCAACACAACAAATGTACTAAAATCGAGCAGTAAAGGCAATACAACTTTCCCATTAACAGAGCCAAGGGACAGTTATTTTATTTATGGGAACAGATTACATTGCCTTGGAGGAATGAAACCTCATGTAAATGTAGAAGATAATGGAGTTGCTTCACCAGCTGCAGCACCTCAGCTAGGGGCTTCTTTTCCTACACCTTCTTCCAAGAGCAATAATAACCCTTCAGTTGTTGTTCCTAGTTCTACTACTAATTTGTCTAACCATGTTGGTTTAACTTCTCTACTTTTAGCAATCCTTGGAATCTTGTCCTTGCTATTTTGGTTCATGTGAATTTGTGGATTTTTACAGTTGAAGGGTGTGTTTTGGTTTGTTCACTTGTTGGTTTTTTTATTCTGACAAGTTGGAGTTCCCCTCACCATTTGTTAACTCTACTTATCTTCAATGCAGTCCTTCGAGGATGCTATATTTTCATCTATTTCCCCTAGAAAGATTGTGTTATACTATGACAAAGATGTATACTTTCAAGTGGATTGCAAAGGACAATAGACGTTTATCCGCAAAGATGACTACTTTCTTTTACGTCAGGCTTATGGATATGACAATGGGGCAGGGGCAGGACAGGGGCAATACTTAAAGGCGAGTCAATGTACTTTTTCAGAAAATTTTAAATAGGATAGAGCAGGGATAAAACTTTGAACTGAACCTTGCAAAATGAAAAATAAAAAGCCAAAGTAATGAAGGAAAGTCTAAACATGACAGGACAGGGCAGGACAAAAACTTTTAGAAAATACTAAATAGGACAGGGCAAGGCGGGTCAAAAGCTTAGCAGGTCACAGCTTGCCCTGCCTGCCCTGCACTACCCAATTGCCATCCCTATTAAGGCTTAATTGATGTTTTGTTTATTTTGAAAGTGGCCGGATTACAATTTATAGAACTCAACACGTATTGTCACTCACTTTGCTTTATTATACCAAAAATATTAAATTATTTTTAGTTTACCTAAAAAATTAATCAATTTGCCTAAACATCAGAAAAGACACCAAAATTTATGAGATCGAAGTTATATTGCCCACTTGGTATCAGCAAAACTTGTTCATTATGACTCGTAGTCTTGGACTTTTTTTAAATAGTACTTTCAAATAAATCAATTGCCTTTCACGTTTCTTGTTTTCATACATGATTTTTCCCACTTAGGACTCTTGATGTCCTATAATTGTTAAAATTAATCTAGAATGTTTTTCTGTTCCTTCTAAAGACTAATAAGATATCTGTCTCAGATTTATCCATCATATGATAATTTAATACCCCCACTTTCGCTCATACCTTTAGAGCTCATGTTAGATTCATAACTTGATAAATATTGTTACCAACAGGTTTACTCTAAAAGTAATTCAACTCACTTCGTTCGATTTCATGACACTAGTTTGCCACCTACTTGCAGACCTCCGTGTTCCAATTTTATTTCTTAACTTTTATCAATTCCTTGACTCCATTTAGTATCTTGTGATATTAACCATAGACATGCTACCGTAGCACGTAAGCTTTCAACAGCCGAGAGTCACTGTTATCACGATGGTACTTGCTCCCTTTTAATATTAGTGCTCTTCTTTGAACCCATACCCTTTACTTGCATATTTTATTTTTGTATAGAAAGTCTCTTCTCATTCAGGAATGCGCGTTACATTACCCTTTTCTATTTTATCTCGTACTAAAATGTGCACACATTAAAATATCCTCTTATTCCACTTAATCCCACGTACAATTTAAAGTACTTCCTTGTTCTCCCCCAATACTTGAATTTAATTCAAATCGCACATGTCCACAAAGTTGTAGGAATACATTCGAATTGCCCATTAAATCTTTCACTATCAGACATAACTTTTAATATCCCTGATGCAGAACATCGTAACTATTACTTGTAATGTGTCTTTGATTCCTTACAAACACTTAATAGTAATTGTACTCACTCCGTCATGAAGTTAACGAATGTTTTATCTTCATCTTGACTCTAGTAAATAAAATATCTTATTTCTCAAACCATTACCTTTAAGGCGAATCATTTTTGTTCCGATGCTCCCCCACTTATGAGTATACCCAATTCAAACTCTTACTTGCCACTCGAAGTCATTATTAAACTTATACCTCACATAAAACTTTTCATTGAAAATCAATTTGTTCACCCACTACAATAGGCTATTTATCCCTCCCAATTAGAAACCTCTATGTTACCGCTTCAATCTTTCATCATACATTGACTTTTATTTCATCATTATGTCGTTATGCTCATTATTCTCACAATAGGATAGATGGATTATACTCATAGGAACTTTCTTTGTTTATTTTCGTAACCAAGTATCACGTCGCTACTAGCTGCAACATATATTTCTAAGGGCCATTATTATCTGCCCTTACGGCATCGTTATAGTTAATACTTCACTCTTTCATGTGTACCCTACCATTAAAATCTCTTCTAACATTTCACCCTTCAATCCATGCTCTAATATAGTTCTAGCAAGTACGACTGCCTTGCGCCTCTCAACTCGTGCTTAAATATGCTGAACAAGTGTGACTCTGTTAGGCTAAATCCACATATCATTATATAACTTTTTACAACACATACCATCTTCATAATGCTACATGTAAGAATAACACATCCTATCTTTATGCCACCATCATGTTCTCCAGTCGCATATATATATATATATATATATATATATATATATATATATATATATGTAGATCTTATTGCCTCGTTTCTTCATCATAGTGCAAACTCTTTTGGCCATAGTTAATACCATATAATTACATCAACATGTCTCATAGAAAAAATATATACTTGCATGTCTTCCCATTCTTCATGGTATCACTGACTCGTCCATACATATCATGTTAGAAATTTTTGACATGGTATCATGTAGTCTTATAATTCTTGTAACATCTCAACTCCAACTCTATACCATAACCGTTTTTAGTTTTGTTTTTGAGCCTTAAGTCTGTACACATTATATGTATAACGTTTCAACAACTTTAACTTAGCCCATGAGTCATTTCAATATTTATTCTTGTTAAATCATAAGGATCCGTTTGCTCACAAGTTAACTGCTCTTTCAATATTGGGCACATATAGAGTTGCTTTGATATCATTCCTAGAAATTCTCAATTTTTTATCATTTCAACAAAATAAAAAGAAGACATGCCTTGATTAGAAAAACTCAAGATTATCATTCCACATTATTTTCTCTTTCCTTCCTTCTCTAACGACCTATATTGCTTCTTATAACCTCCCAGACTACGCCTTTTGTGCATCTCATGCCTTAATATTGTCACGCTTACCCATTTAAGTCCACATACTTTATCCTCGCATACCTTGGTATGCATAATTAGAGATTGACATTTATTTGTATCACGTTCATCATCTGGAGGAACTCAATATTGTCATGCCCATCTTTTACCTATGGCATGCTTCGTCTATCCTCAACTCGTACTTACACGTGGCACTTTATTTCTTGTGTGTTGCTTCTATTACATATAATACAATCATGACAATAATCTATCATGCTCAGAGGAAACCCGATGTCTAGTATAATTAAGGGTCAGCTCCCTCATCTTATAACATTCTCTTTTCGGATAATCAAGAAAGTCTTTTTTTTTTTTGGGAAGGTGTCTTTGGTCATTATGCACACTGTCGTAACTATGTCATACGTCTTATGAGTCATACTATATTTACCACAAACTTGAATGATTCACATTTACTTATCAATTAGACCCATATCAACTCTCTATATCTTGTCATGATAATTTAAGATGCAACATCTTCATTTACAAATTTTTTGTGTACCTTTGCTTAACTCGTTAATGTTTATTACCATAGTAAACAGTCGCTCCAACATCTTGACCAACAATCTTGAATTGAAACCCAGGGTCTAGCATAGGTGCCCTTATTTGCATCCTTTAATAAAATTCTTTATAAGTCAGGACACCATCCTGACAATACTAGCTGACATCATCACCTTATTTTCTTCCATGATTTCTTAGTATTCGACAGATAATTCTTATTCACCAAAGTTATACGTGTTGACTGTATCAGTCCGAATCTATTCTCAAATTATCCTTCCATTTTGAACAAATTTGACATTTTTTGGTTATTAGCCCAAACTTGAATCTTGAGCTTTATTCTCGCCACTTCTGCATCTTTCTCAACAGGTAATCAATACAATCAAGAATATGTACTCTCAATTAAGGCACAAACATACGATATAGAGTATGAAGAAAGTGAAACTTTCTAGATGTCATTGTAGCCTCCCCGATATAAGTGTGGCCGGTAACACACCGATAAGAGGGACTCTACTTGACACGGCTCCATAGACTTCCTAGGATTCGACTTAGAACATAGTGCTTTGATACCAAGTTCGTCACGACCCAAATCTATGTGACCGGCACCCGGCACACTACCCGACCTGAGCGAACCTACCCATATATCAAGACCAAGTATAATTGCGAAAGCCAATTGAAAACCATGTATTTTCAAATCAAGTCACAACATATTTTTCATTTGCAAAATCATACATGAAACTTTTCATAAGAATGATATAATCAAATTAAATGATTATTCCTTTATGCATGATGTCCATAATCCTATTTTTACAATCTACACAGCTACCTATAGAGCCTCTATACCAAAGAATAGAACCAACACTTGGAGTAATTCCAAGAAAAGAAAATAAGAAATAACATGACAGCTACCAAGAAATAAAAGTGGCGCTTCATAATACCTCGGAAAGAGAGTCATCCTAGCCCTAACCGCACGCCACGTATCATACATCATCCTAAAATATGTAAAGTAAGCGGGACCTTGGAGTGGGGCCCCTAAGGGATGAGTACACTATAACGGTACTCAATAAGTGTCATAGACTCTCTCTGACTTAAGTTCTTGGTACAATCTTTATAAAAAGATAATGCATCAATATTTGATAAAACGATAAGAAATTTTATCAATTCATGACCCTTGTCATTTTAAATAACAACCAAGGGAAATATAACCCACAATATAAACTTTTAAAATATTTACATCAATCCAAGATCTTGGATAAAATCACACAAAATTATTCCATTTGCTTTAAGTCATTGATATCACTTTCGGCTCCTTAGGCCTAAACATAAGAAAATTATCCTTAACTTTCACTGGGAGTACTATACCATCACCGACATAAGAAGGTAACCTAGGTTATGTTCCTAGCGCCAAGTATCATATACCCTACTTGCTCAGGTCGTCTCATCATAGTGCCGTACGAATCGACTTAGCCATGCTAATAATAGCACAAAATAGTACTCTCTCGAAGGAGAGCACTCTACCGTAGTCTATACCACAAAGTGG